TGGCTGGTCAGCGTAACTGGCCTGAGCTGGTGGTTCAGCATAACTGGTCTGAGCTGGTGGTTCAGCGTAACTGGTCTGAGCTGGCTGGTCAGCATAACTGGTCTGAGCTGGTGGTTCAGCGTAACTGGCCTGAGCTGGTGGTTCAGCGTAACTGGTCTGAGCTGGTGGTTCAGCGTAACTGGTCTGAGCTGGCTGGTCAGCGTAACTGGTCTGAGCTGGCTGGTCAGCGTAACTGGCCTGAGCTGGTGGTTCAGCATAACTGGTCTGAGCTGGTGGTTCAGCGTAACTGGTCTGAGCTGGCTGGTCAGCGTAACTGGTCTGAGCTAGTGGTTCAGCGTAACTGGTCTGAGCTGGCTGGTCAGCGTAACTGGTTTGAGGGTCAGTGGAGGCTAAGGTGCGGATGACAGACCGCATGTAGCTTTTACTTCCAGAGGGCTTTTTTCTATTGTGTATCTTCTGATGCTCAGTGAGGTCCGAGCTACGAACAAAGGACTCTCCACACTCTGGACATTCATAAAATTTCTCTCTAGGGCGAAACGTTTCAGGGTCACCAAAACGCAGGGAGTGGATTACAGAGGTCTCATAATTCCTCTGCTCAATGTTTTTCTTCTTAGCACGAGCCTTCTGATGTTCACGGACACCTGAGTTGGGACCAGACGGCTCGCCATCCTTCTTAAATCCACTGGATCCCTCTCCGGCCAGACTTGCCCGCGGTCCACTGCGGGACACGCTGTGGATGACGGACTCCGTGAAGCTGGGCGTCTTGCTCCCTTTGTCAGGGCTCTCTCTGGCAGGAGTCTTCTGCTGCTGACCACGGAGGTCTGGAAGGTAAGCGGAGGACTCCCCCCTCTCGTCACGTCCAGTGACTTCGCTGCCACTGCAGCTTCTGGGAGGCCTGAAGGCGGCTAAGCTGTGGATAACGGACGTCTCGTGTCTCTTTCTTTCAGTGGTGCCCGCTCCAGCCAGGACCTTCGGACGCCGGATGACACCTGAGCCTTGTAGGGGGGACTCTGGGACCACTTCCGGCGTGGTGGGCCCCACTGCGCTGTGGCTCTTCTGAGATCCCACAAAGGCTAAGCTGTGAATGACAGACCTCTCATATGGCTTTCTCGCACGGCACAGGGCTTCCTGCCTGTCCGCAGGGCTGGCACTGACGGCGAACGCGCTCCCGGCCTCCTCATCTTCGGGCGGCCTCGTTATGGTGTGACTCTTCTGCGACTCCGGGAAGGGCGCACTGTGAATGGCAGACTTCGGGCACCCCCTGCCTTCGTAGAGGTTCTTTCGAGAATGGATTTTCTGAAGCTCAGTGAGGCCTGGGCTTTGCCTTTTAAAGGCCTCCCCGGGATCTTTAAAGTCGTAGGGCTTCTCTCTTGAGTAGGTTTTCTGACGTTTCTTCAGGGAGGGACCAGGGGTGAAGGCCTCCTCGCGCCCCCTGCCCTGACTCGAGAGCGGGCTGCGCGCGTGGGCCCTCTGGTGCCCCCTCAGGGCCGCGCCATGGAGGAAGGCCTCCCCGCACACCCTGCACTCGTACAGCCTCTCCGAGCTGCGCATCTTCGGGAGCTCGCCGAGCGCCGGG